TTAAAAAACTTCTCAGAAAGCTCTTTCACTCAACTGTTCGCAGAAAACAACGGAGCCGAATTTAAATAGACAAAATTTCACTCAAATCCAAGCAATTTGTCATCATACACCAAATGCTGCTCACCTTTAAAAAAATATCAGATAACAACGGAATCGAGTTTAAACACAGAGCTAGTAGATTCTAAGAAATTTAAAAAAATACTTATTTAATTATACTCTTAATTTATCATTAGTAAATTGAGTAAATTAAAATGAAGGGCACTTCTAATTATGTATGGAAACATTCACAGAATGGTGATATACCTTGGAAACTGAAGCAGCTTTATCCCCCATTTTCACTTTTTAAAACCGTTTGGATGGCACAAAGTATTTTAAAACGAAACAAAAGTCAGTTGACTTTCGAAAAATAACATTAGGACTCATAACCACAAATAAACAGCAAAGCAGATTACAGATTAAGAAGATGATTAAGAAGACCAATTTTAAAGTTGATTTAGCACCGTCGCTAAAGGCCGTCAATTACCAAGACATTTTCAGAAAAAATATCATTTGAACTGGACGTTAGTTCTTTAAATATTATAATTTTTAATTTAAATAAAGAAACGACTGTATTTAACAAGCACGTCAACTTCAGATGTTTTTGATCTCAACATTACATTTATGTGGTTGGTTTTTACATTGTACTCTTCAAACATTGCCAAAAGTCGCACGGCATTTCGCATTAGTGATGAAAGTATCCAAATAATGTTTTTTTGAATTTTTTTGTACTATAGTTTGTGAATATATCACCTTTTCGTTAAAATATCGTTAGTCAGTATAAACTCAGTACAAATCCGCCCTTTAATTGTAACACTGCGCAAAAGTTGATGTCGTGAGCATAGAGAAAGTAAAATAATTATTTTACTTACTCTATTGTTGCGAGTCACCAGAACACAGACACGTAATTTTATATTCATTTGCAGGAGGGTAAATAATTATTTTCATTTGCTTGTAAATATATGACTATTTGTTTAAATGCTTGTAGAATATAAATAATTAATTTTATAAAAGTATACAAAGTGCATATAAAGATATTTGCACTTTGTGAGTTTGATAATGTTGGTGTATTCGAGTATTCGATTATTCGAGTTATGACAAGACACAATTATTCGCTTTTTGAATATTTGAATACTCGAATTATTCGAGTTTGGCTCCGAGTCCATATACCATACCCGTTTTAGTAATCATAGATGAAGACACAGACTACATACTATTGATTGATGAAGACAACTAGTTAGTACAGGTTAGTAACTAGTTAGTAAGTTTGTTTTGATTAACGTAACCTCAAACTGACTTGCGCATGTCATTTAAGCAAGGAGCCGATTGCGATATATGCGCCTGTGATATGCGCTAGCACTCTTTATGTCTATGGCTTGAACCACAGAATCAGAAAGAGACGAGGAAGACGAAATACCCTTGCTTGAGCTTGTGAAAATTGAGTTTTCTTGCCGCATTTTCTGGCTTCATACTTTTAGCTAAATAATGGCTTCCAGCGAAAGCAGCGGGGTTACGACAGGACAGCCCAATTTGCAGAAACAAGACTTATCAAAATTGGTAAGTTTCGCACGATTTATCTTCTGTGCTCAATTTGCTCATGTGGTCAGTGCCCTAACCTCTAAACCACTGGAAGGCTTGGGTTCATCATTAAATCCAACAAATTTTGTTTATTATGTTGCCATTAACTAATGCTGAAAACGCTTCAAGCGAGTGTAAATATTAGTAGTCCATATGGATACCCGTTGCAATAAGCACTCAGTTTCCTCACTGGTTGATGCAATATTTTAGCAACTACTTCCATTGTATTATAATCCAGATATATTACAGGATGTTACCAAGCTCACGGCTCTATCTCCAGAGGTGATCAGTAGACAAGCTACCATTAATATTGGAACTATTGGCCATGTAGCTCATGGCAAGTCTACTGTTGTTAAGGCCATATCAGGAGTGCAGACTGTTCGTTTCAAGAACGAACTCGAGAGGAACATTACAATTAAGTTGGGTAAGTTTCATCTTAAAATGCTTTTCTGGGTGTAAGGCGAAGCGAGTGTTTATTTGGGTATTTTGAGACACCGCAGTTCCACACCTTTTTTGTTACTAATTTACAATATAAGTTCCTTTTCTGTACAAAAAACGATTTTGCCATCAAGTGCTATCGCAAGCTCAAGTGAATTGCATCCTCAAAGGTGGTTTGCTCGGTTGTCCTCCAAAAGCGTCCTTCGTTGTTCTTTTTTTGTACTTTATTTCCTTTTTTTCAAAATAGTTTTTCACACATATCTTTCTCTTTGAATGTTGAATGCGTTTTCTCCTGTTATAATATTTCGTTTCTCATCCAGGTTTTACGTTATGTTCCTGCATTTTTCAGCAATGTGTTCTTGATCTACTGTGGCGCTTTACGCAGTAAATTTATTTTCTCCAGTGCTTTCAGTTTTTTCCTCTATTAGTCTTGTGAGATGTTTCTGTTTATAGCGTTGATAACGAATTCCAATTTTCCATTTAATTAGAAAAAGTACGTGAGGAAATTAGCTATTTCCAAACACAATGTTGAGGCAAAATACGTAAATAGACAACTAGAAAAGTAGATAGGTTTAGTAAATGTTGCCAATTTAATCCTTTTTTAGTCGCCATAGAATATGATCTGCGCTGAATATTTTTTCCACGCATCATTTAAGCTGTTCACACAGTGTTTCTTTTGAATTGCTATTTTTCAGATCCAATTGTTGACGATTCGATTTAAAACCTATCACCAGATGTATAGAAATTATAACCGGTCTCCTAAAAGACTTTGATAATTTTAACCGAACGCTGAATCGACCACGTTTTCTGAATCAGTTTGTGTGTAAAATGGAAGCTATATCATCTTTCTGAAACTTGTCTAATTATTAGCTCGGAGCTTTTTCTTTCGATTACTAGTCATTTTCTGAAATTCAAAATGAATTGATTTTTGTTTTGTTTTTAATTATAGACAAGCTACAGTACGATGATAAAGGTTTCATCACTTGGCCACACAGACTGAAAGGAGTTTCGGTAGATATCGGCAAGGCGATTGACAATCTCGAAAAGTGGGAACAAAGGGGACAGAAAAGAAATCGGAGCTTTTTACGCACAAAAGAATATAAAAGGAACTTCGAAGTAGAAGCAATCGAAGCTGTGGAATATGACGAGTTAGATAGAGAACATTTGTTTTTTATTAAGTGGAAAGGATGGCATAGCGAATCTAACACGTGGGAGCCTCTAGAGAACCTCAACGCTGATGTTCTTTTAGAGCAATTTCTCTCAAATTATTTTAAAGATGATGTGTTGAAGGCGTTGTCTGACAAGTTTGATATTGGTATAAGTTCCGTTAGCAATGAGCAGCTTCTGAGTGTGGTTCCAAATGGGGAGCTTGCAAACGTTATCAGTAAACTGAATGCTCAGAAGCAACTTCTCAAGTTTTTGAATATGCGCTTTAAAGTACAAGGTACCAAGAGATATGAAGATGGCAGGAAGGCTTTGTTAACCTATTTGCTACTGTTGAAAAGAGAGCAACAATTCGCCAAGATCAGTCGCTGGGAGAGCCTGATAAACAAGATGGACAAGTCAGAGGCCCCGATTTCAGTGGAAAACAACGCTGACCTGGAGTTTCCTCCAGATCACTTCTGCTACATCAACGATTACGTTCCAACTGGTAATATTGAATTTTCCACCATTCCCGATGTGCATTGTGAGTGCCAGGAATGCGGCCCGAGCAACAAATCCTGTTGCGGCAAGCAATTAAATAGAGCATATACGTATACACCGCGTGGCAGAATAAACGTGAATCCAGGCTTTCCTATTTTCGAATGCAACAAATTCTGCAAGTGCACCTTAAGTTGCCGCAATCGGGTTATTCAGCATGGGCGCAAAGTTCCTCTATGTATTTTCCGTACGTCCAACGGCTGCGGTTGGGGCGTGAAAGTAATGAGAAAAGTCCCCTGTGGGGAATTCATTTGCGAGTATGTTGGAGAGGTGATCGACCATGATGAGGCAGAGCGCCGAGGCAAAGAATACGACGCAGAAGGCCGCACTTACTTATTCGATTTGGACTATAATTCCAGTGACAATTTATATACAGTGGATGCGGGCGTTTATGGCAACGTTTCGCATTTTATAAACCACTCATGCGAACCCAATCTGGGAGTTTACGCCGCTTGGATCAATTGCCTGGACCCAAACTTACCCAAGCTGGCCCTGTTTGCTTTAAGGGAAATTCAAAAAGGAGAGGAACTGTCGTTTGACTACATGATGAACATCGATCAGCCTGTATCGAAGACGCCAGAAAAAAGCAGGCCGAAACTGCAGACTCCTGATAAAACGACCGCGCAATCTAATCGGCCTTCTTGTAAATGCGCTGCTGATAGTTGCAGGAAGTATTTGTTTTAGACATTAGGAACAATCGACGACAAAGAAAATTGAAAGGAATCTGGACGGAAAAGATTCGCGTGGGTTAAGGGCGTAGATTTAGCGTACTTTGATCAATGCTAATAGCAATAGCTAAGCGAAACTCAAATTGGGCATGTCAAACCATGTCCATTGTTTAATTTTTCGCGTTGAAAAATTCCATTTTGTTGTAATAGTTTATTGTTAACACCTGTATAGACATTGTTAACACCTGCAAATCATTTGTTACCCTTAAGTGAAAGTTTACTCAGTGTTATTTAATTACTGTTCGGCCGAGTTAATTGATGTTTTTTTGTTAAGTAGGATAGAAGTTTTAGCAGATTTGTTATTGACATTAGCATGAGGTAATTTTTATAGCCACTTTAGTTGTTCAATCTCAGATTACTTCAGTGAATGCCCGTTTATCATACATTACATTTTTGGTCATAAATTTTAATACTTGTGTTTGTTTGGAATAGAATAAATTGACCATTAAAGTTAACGTTATTGTAGTGGTTCCTAAATCTATGCTGCAAAGCATTGGCTCCCAATTTGATCATAAAGTAAGGGTTGACTGTTGATTAGAGTAGCGCAGTTTATTCAAGCGAGTTGATGTTTTATCTAAAGTGGGGTGATTGTCCAGGTTATGCCAATGCGAAGATCTACAAGTGCGACAACCCAAAGTGCACTCGGCCCACCAGCTTCATTTCGGGATCATCCTCAAAAGACGACAGTTTTCCTTGTATACGTCCGGCCTGCTCTGGGCGGTTCCAACTAATCCGTCATGTTAGTTTTGTGGACTGTCCTGGGCACGACATTCTTATGGCCACAATGTTGAACGGAGCCGCTGTGATGGATGCTGCTTTACTATTAATTGCAGGTAAAAATTATTAACGTGACAAGACTAAATTCTATTTGTTATTCTTCGGCTTTGTGATCGTTAAAGGTACATTATACGGGGTATTGATGAAGAAACCCGGGAAGGAAAACATTTGTCAACTGGTTTTACCTTCAGGAGTTTTTCGCTCCTCAATAGAACTCAACTAAAAAATATTTCTTTACAGAAATAGTTTTGTCCAATAAAACCACATTATAATGGGTATAAGCAAGCTTTGGGGAAGCAACTATAGTTTCTTTCAAAAAGCTTGCTTAAACCGTGCTTATCACACACCCATCACTTCAATGCAGTTTTATTCGACAAAACGTTTCTTTGCACTAGGCCTCTGTTATACCATAATAATTATTTTTTAGGTAACGAGTCGTGTCCTCAGCCACAAACCAGTGAGCATCTGGCTGCGATCGAGATAATGAAGCTTAAACACATTCTAATATTGCAAAATAAGATCGATTTGGTCAAAGAGGGACAGGCCAAAGAGCAGCACGAAGAGATTGAAAAGTTCGTCCAAGGAACTGTTGCGGAAGGGGCCCCGATAATTCCTATATCCGCTCAGCTGAAGTACAATATTGAGGTGTGCCCCCATACAGTCGATTGTTTCCAGGTTTTTCAGCTGGTAATTATTGTTTTAGGTTCTTTGCGAATATATTGCAAATAAGATTCCGATACCCCAACGCGACTTCACTTCGCCCCCTCGTCTGATCGTAATTCGGTCCTTTGATGTTAACAAGCCGGGCTGCGAAGTTAATGACTTAAAGGGAGGTGTAGCTGGCGGTAGTATTCTTCGCGGAGTCTTGCAAGTAGGGCAGGAGATCGAAGTCAGGCCCGGTTTGGTCAGCAAGGATTCTGAAGGAAAATTGACTTGTAGGCCCATTTTTTCCAGGTAATGCGCTAGTAGTTGCTCTTTTGCAACGCTGAAGCCGACATATTATTTTCCAGGATTGTCTCTTTATACACTGAACAGAACGAGCTGCAGTTTGCAGTACCTGGAGGTCTGATCGGAGTGGGTACCAAGATTGAGCCGACGTTGTGCAGAGCTGATCGTTTAGTAGGCCAAGTGCTCGGAGCAGTTGGAGCCTTGCCCAACATATTCATCGCCCTCGAGGTATTGAAAAGCATGCCAATTAAACCAATAGAGTTTAATATTCGATTCAATTTCAGGTGAGCTACTATCTGTTGAAACGACTGCTCGGCGTCCGTACCGAAGGGGACAAAAAGGGAGCAAAAGTACAGCGGCTAACCAAATCTGAAGTACTGTTGGTCAACATCGGCTCCTTGAGTACCGGAGGTCGTGTGGTGGCTACTAAGGCCGATTTATGCAAGATTGCGCTAACTAATCCAGTTTGCACGGAGATTGGCGAAAAAATCGCCCTTAGTAGAAGAGTGGAAAAGCACTGGCGTCTCATCGGATGGGGACAAATCAGAGGAGGGGAGACGATAGAACCTTCAGTTAGCTAAAATAGGAATCGAATAAATAACAATACTGAATTATACAGTTGCATCAATTATCTATGAATTATAAAGTGGTTTTAGGTTTTCTTTATGGACTCACGAATGTTTTCAGATTTCAAAATATATGCGATTTCCAAACAGTTGTGTGTTTAGCAGACGGCAATTTCCGCTTTACATTTTTGCTTGATTAGGTTTACCCAGTGTTGATTCTTTCAAAAAGAGGTTGCGGTTGAATTAATACAAAGCTTTTGGACAACTTAAATTATAATTTTCAAGGTACACTGCTTGAGAAAAACCACCCTCGGATAATCACAGTTAAATTGCAATTTACTGATTGAGTGATTCATAGTAACCTGTACAACTGAGATACAATTAAACATTAAATATATGAAAATTATACAATATAATAGGTCACGTTGACTCCAATCGATCTTAGCACAATAGGATTTTTAGAATACTTAGTGACCACGTTGATTACCTTTACTGCGCCGGAATGAGTATATTTTCAAAACATGAATCCATGGTGGAGCCTAATACGTAATTACAAATACTTGTAGAAATCCCATCAAAACTAACACTTTTATTTTAAATATTACAGAGATTTTCCGATCGAAGATCGTCATTCAGTATTAACGCTTTCCGTTATTCAAATTTAGTGATCTAGGTGGTATTTTAAACGTCGAAGCTGCTTGCTGTTGCATTTGGTACGCTAATGGATGTATTTTGAAGCCAAACAACCTGAAACAGTGCAGGAAAATTGGTAAGCTATTTGGCCTGATTGTATATAACACGTCTTACCTAGGAACAAATTGGTTGGTGGGGCGTTTTGGTCTGTATTCAGGATGAACCATGAAGAGCATATGTGGGAAGCCGGTGCCAAAATAGGCGCCGTCAGTATGATGGTGTCTTGATGACTTTGGTGTATACACATCCATACATTTTGGACAGTAGCACTTTACCATTGCTTCTCCTTAAGTAAAAAAAATGTATCGCTTTCGTAACAAATCTAAGGAGTATTTCAAATTTAAGTGTTGGGTTTAACCCTGCAGTCAAAAGTCTAGATAAAGGGGTTATTTGTTATAATGCACATGAAAGGAAAGCCTTTTTTTCTGAAAATTATATATAAAAAACCCGAACTACTCTTCTACCAAGGCTAGTTGTTAAGTAAAATATTAAGTTAATGGTTTTTTGGTTAAAGATTATTTACAATTTACACATACTTCCTATGTGAATTGTGAGCAACTCTATATCTGACGAGGCCACGAACAGCTTGGAAAAAAGTGGTGAATGGACCCTTCGATTATATCTAGCTTTTTACACTTTCATTAAACCCATTAAGTCACTAGGCTTTTAGTTAGATTAATACAGATCAGAAAACCAACACTATTCAAACTGATGAAGAAAATTAGTTCAGTATAAGCTTTCAAGCGAACCTCTAGATTCCAGCCATATGATGTGAAAAATAAACAGTATTGGACTTAAGGGTTAAAATCGGCTTTAGTGCATTTATTAACAACCACAAAATGAACTGATGGCTTCTTTTAAGCTTTAAGTTAATTGTCTCCAGATAACGATTTTGTGGTTTCCCCATGTGTAAGTACTTATTCTCTTTCACAATTATTTAATTTAAAGGGTGTTTTGAAACTGCAAAGTTCTTATGGAGAAATTTATTTCATGTCTTCTCATTTTTTAATGGAGTAAAAGCTTCTAAAGTGCGCAATTCTACAACCTTGAAAGCAAGTTTTGTTCCTTGTTACAATTGGACAAGCCTTTCAAGCCAGAAGCAAATGATCTAATAGGCTTTTGAAGCTTCAAAGTGCCTTTCCTCGCGAAAATAATGTTGCGGTTTGTCATTTTTCCCAGAAGTCCTTCATATATAAGTAGGCTCTTAAAGAACACGAGTGTCCGATCTCGGACGCTAATGAACTGATAGTGTTTTATCGTTTCGAGACCATAGTTGGGCAAATTAAACGAAGCTAATCGCACTAACCTGGAACATCTGAGAGCCCCAATGGTAACATATGTTGAGATTCACAGTAAACTCTCGGACAAAAGCCATAATCTCCTACTTGATATTTTTCAATCATCTGGGCAATTCCTCGGTTTGTTAATATATACCTGGCATGAATCAAGCCATAAAGCATTTCAGCAGCCTGCTCTATTAGATCCGACTGATTGGGATTGTCGTCTAGTTCATCGTCTGAAGTGCAAAAAATGTCTTTCGAAATGAAACCCATAGAAATTCAGCATGTTGCCCTAGGGCCAGTCAGGACTTACCAGGTTCTAGATCTAATATCATATCTAACGCCTGCCTATAGTGGGGTACCTGTTCATTAAGTCCAGTTAAATTGAATTTGTCCTGTATATAGTCTTCGTCCACCTAAAGCAAACACCCATCAGTGATGGCCAGTAGGAATACATGTGACTGTTTACCTCGCAAAAGAACTCGTTGCCGCGAAGGCCGCAAAACCACGAAATCCATGAGACTTCCTCGGAACTGCTCATTTTTCTAAAAAAAACATTAATTAAAAAAACACTTTTTCTAGACAAGAAATTTGATTAATGTCACTTCTAAAGATTCGCACTATTCGATTCGAATTGACAGTCAATTCTCTATACCCCCCTGAACATTCAAATGGCGAGTGTTAGACAAAGACAAAGAGCTAAACCAACCTAAACCAACTACGCAAAATGAACATGATCACAAAACTTGACCCAGCCTCTTTTTTAGGGTTTTAGTGCAACTTGAAAGGCGAATTGGTCCTTTCGACCGGGAAAATGTCTCGAAAAAAACCCAAAAAATTACGCAGTGGAATACTGCAGACCACAAAAGCCTACATTGAAGAGTATTTACCTTTTGGTGCCTTGGTTAGCCACGCTTACGATCACTTCATCTACAACTAAAGGAAAGCAGTCTATGCGACATCTGGGCGGCAAAATGTTTAACTTGAGTTTGTCAATTATAAAAGCGCCAAATTCAAAAATTGATTGCTAACTAGTACTAATTGATTTAATTTAGATTTTTAATAGTCTGCCTTTTATTTATTTCCTGCTGATTTAGAGATTTTCAAACCTTTTTAAATTTAACCTTCACAAAGTAAAACAGTAAATTTGGTTTCTTGGTTCCTGATCTTTAATCCACAAATAGCAAAGAAAGACAAATTACCATCAGCAATTCATTGAGTTTTTGTGGGTTTCATGAGCACTAGGTGGAACCAGTCATCATGGATCATTAAAACGACTTCATTCAAATAACTCATTACGAGTAGCGCATCCGCCATTCTGTCTTGTAAACAAACTAGCTTTGGGTTCTACATGTTTGGAACCAGTCCTAAAACTATAAGAACTGAGAATTCCAATGAGGATTTTATCTTCAGCATATCGGCAACGGCGCCGCAGGTTTCCGATGAAAAATCAAATGAAAGGCGCCTGCTTTAAGCGTAGGTCACATGAGCGGGTACCTATCAGTGGCGGCTGGTGGTACCGCGGTTTACCCATTTTACGCAAAAAAGCCGGTTTTAAATTGCATTAAATAATGGAGAAAAATCTATTGCAGACTTGTGTTGGTTGTTTTTGGGGGAAATGGAACAGACCAACCGCCGTTAGGCAGGAGAGCGAAGCAGTCGCATTAAATACTGACAAAAATGTTTGAAAAATCAACTAAAAAAACGTCCAAAATGCTCAAATTTCAAATTCAACAAGTGGCTTTTATTCAAAGAGCTCCAAACTGTTCTGTTCAGACGCCGTTTAATGGGCCCCTTCGACGCTCCCGACCTGTCTACATTAGATTAGCGGCTTCAAAGATTATTCAGGTACCTGTTGAATAATTAATCGCGACTTGACAACAGCGCTTTGGTACTGAAACCAAGCAGGTTTCCACTCATTTCACGCAAATCCGATTTAATACATTGGTAAAACACCATATATACCGTTGCCATGGCACAGAACACGTATCGCGCTTGTATACAAATAGATAATTTGCGTGAGGTGAAATCGTGAAGAAGAATCTGGTACCCATCGGGCACTAGATCGATTCGTTTTGAGTGGAACGTTTCGGGACCGGTCGTTCATCCTCAGGGATGCTGGACAGTGCCCTTCGTTGTTCTAGTGCGTGACCAGCATGTGAAAGGGATTTTTATCGCTGGATGGAATTTGCCCAATTCCTGCCGCTAATTGGTTCTCCAATAAGTCTAGGCAAGTTGCATTCAAAAGTTTCCGACCAATAAGAGCGTCTTTTCAATGCACCTACTTGATAATCGTGGCAACTTTTCCTAAGTATGTAGATTACAGTAGGTAGCGCATTTCCGCCAACGATTTCCAAGAAAACAATAGATAATTAAAAGCCAAGAGCACGTAATTAGGGTATTTAGATGCAGCAATGAAAGCCAATCTTCGGTTAAAGAGTCCTTCCCAATAGTGATACAATGCATGTATTCTTCGGCTTTGGTACCGTTCGATGACCGTGTTAAAATGTGAACGTACCGTACATGTTTACGGCCAGCTTTATTATGGGAGGATCTTTCGATTCAGCTGGAACCAAACAAGCAAGAATATGTTTGTGATTTGGAAAAAATCACTTCCAAGAGGTGTAGAAGGATGAAACAAGGCCCATAATCCAATGATTCGCTTTGATAAGATGGGATTAAAGCAGCGGATTGTATTAGCTTTCCAATAACAATCAATAATCTTTGTTTTCAAACACTTGCGCTTTTTTGCAGTTTTTGAATTTTTACAGTGAAAACCAGATATATTTTATCGGGAACTTTGCTTTGAAAATCTGGCGAATTTGTCCATGAAGAATCATCTCTCTTCCCCAAAGGTGATCATGAGCAGAAACTTCGCAATATTTAATTGCGATTTAATAAATCTTAAAGTCTGCAAAGTCTTTAATAAATTATATAAGTGTGCTGAAGACATTCGTAGAAAATAGTCGGATAAAGTCGATAGGATTAAATACAAATAGGAACAAAATTGTCTTCTGGGAAAATCTTTGATAAACAGGCTTGAGGATGCGTTTCACTTATGGCATTCGTTACACAACAACGAATAAAAATTCTTATTCTTGAAATACTTTTTCACGGTTTTCTTCTTCTGCAAAATCTGGAGAATTTTTCCCGGTGCTTTGATTCGCCACTTTTCAAGTTTTTGTTGCTTGAAATGGATGAGAATGACTCCGAGGACGGGCTTAAGCCATTTGTCAAGGTCGGAATTTATCGTCTTTATATGTATTTTTCAAACTTTTGTGATAATCATTTAAACCTGGTTTTTTGAGTAAGTGTACTTCAAATTATTCCAGCTGGTTGTTRTGTAATTTTTAGTCAGTTTTGATATTTTTAAATTTGCAAAGGATCAAAAAATTGATTTTTTCAGCTGCAGAAAAAAGTAAAATAAGTGTAAAAGTTCCAGTTTTGGGCTTCGGCAGCACATGTTTTTACCAACGAAACGCGCTAAAACTTTTTTTTCAAGGAAAAACTGATTTGGGGTCAAGCGCAGTTATCAACTGAAGTTTCTGCTTTGTTGGCTCAAATTTTCAAACTCGATTCTGTCTGGGTTTGCAAGTTGTGAATTTTTAGATATCAATCTTAAAAAATTCAAAAATTTTCCCAATTGAATGGATGATTAGAATTATCTGAAACTCTCCACAGCAAGATTCCACTGCTTGCCAAAATTCACAACTTGAATCTGCTTAGCCTTGTGAGTTGCGAGTTTTCAGAGACCGACCTTAAAATGAGCGCATTTTTTCAAACGGCAAAGTTTAGAAAATCGCAGAAAATTAACGGATTACTTGATTCGCCTAAAACTTTCCACAATTATTAGCTAAGGCTTATTCTATCTGGACGCAGAAATCCGGACTGCCAATTTTTATCATTTTTTTAAAGGCAATGTATAGAAAGTTAAAAAAAAATCAACAGACTATCTGAATTTTTTCAAACAAATTTACTGACTGACATTTCTTCTAGATTTGATCAAAATTGCTTGTTTGGGTTTCTCAGTTGTGAATTTTTCGACCCCGACCTTATGATTGCGCGCCTTTTAAATGGTAACATTTTAAAAAAATTCTTAATTTGAAACTGTTCAACCTTTATTGTCTGTTAGTCTGTGCGGTTTTGTGAGTCGCAAATTTTTAGAGATTGTCTGACCATTGGCCTACATTTTTAAGCGGCAAAATTTAGAAAATCGCAGAAAATCAACCGATTACCTGAAATGGCTAATGCTTTCCATAATTGTTAGTTAAAGTATCTTCTATCGTGGCTCATAATTCCAAACTTGAATCTGTTTGGATTCGGCTCTTATGCATTTTTAGAAAGCAAATTGCGCATTTTTACATTTATTTAATACTTAGGTTTGTGAGCTGTGAATTTTTAGGGCGGATTTGTGTCTTACGATTAGCCCAAATTTTTAAACGGCCAAGTTTGTTTAGGCAGTTGCAGAAAATCAACGGATTGTTTGAATTGTCTATAACTTTCCACAATTATTAGCTAAGGTATCTTCTGTATTAAATCAAAAATTCGAAACTTCAATCTGTTTGCGTTTGGTAGTTGGGAATTTTTAAAAATCGGCCAGCACATTTTTACATTTGCTTAAAAGTAAAGTTAAGAAAATCCCGAAAACCAGTGGATTAATTAAATGCTCTGAGATTAGCGACATTTATTGACGAACGTCTCTTCTATGTTGCCTCAAAATTGCAATCGTGAATCTTTTCGAGTTTATGAGTTTTACATTTTAAAACTGAAAAATTTAGACAATCACAGAAAATCAACGGATTATTTGAACTGTCTATAACGTTCCACTATCATTAGCTAAAGTATCGTCTATATTGACTCAAAAATCCAAACTGAGCATTCAGGAGTAATTAATTTTTAGAAACCGGCCTGCACATTTTTACATTTGCTTAAGGCAAAGTTAAGAAAATTCCAGAAAATCAATGGATTATCTAAATTATCTGGATTTATTGACGTACGTTTCGTTAAAAATGCGTTATACAAATGAGCTCCACAAGGTCCTAGAATAGAATATTCTTAGATAGTCTTCGATAAACAGGCTAAGGATTATTTATTCCGTCAATTAAACAACAACGAATAACACTCTTCTAGGAACATCTTCTTCGCGGATTCTTTCTTTTATAAGGCAAAAGTGAGATTTTTTTCGACTGAAGATTTGGTATTTAAAATCTGGATAATTTTTTGAAGATGATCCTTATCCGACACTTTATAAGTTTTAGTTGCGTTTCGTTTTAAATACACTATACAAGTGAGCTGCATAAGCTTTTCCCAGTTTCTTCCTTTCTTCGGGAAAAACGCTATTTTTTAAAGAGAATTTGATCTTAAAAATTAGTAAACTTCTCCAGTGTGGCAAGCCATGAGGATGATTCTGGTTGGCAACTGCAAAAATGCGCTGAATAAAGCACTAAACTGTATTTATCATGGAGAGCTGTTCCATTGGAACTAACGCGCAAATTTGAGAATTTTTTTAACTTTTATTGAAAGTGCCAACACAGCAACTTGAGCAACTTTTCCATTTATTCTAGCGCTTGCTGCCAACCGTTGAAATCCTCTACCCAAACAACCCGAACTTTCCAATCAACTTCAATTGCTTCTGTTTGTTTCAGTGTTTAAAATCAACCATGAAGAAGTGTTCTCGTTGTGCGTGTTAAATAGTGAGAGTTTTTTTATTGAAAATTTAAGTGCCAACATAGACAATGGATGAGGTAGCTTTCCAAGACTGGCCTGGACCTCCTGTTGACATGAACGCTGGAAACAACCCCTGGATGCCTGCCTATGGATTTCAAACTCCGAGCGCCTTGTTGGAAAAGGAGGATTTTATTGGAAATCCTGGTAAGTTGTTTTTCATGTTGATTAACGCACTTAAACGCGAAACAATGTTCATCATTATATTATTTTTAAGTAACGTCGACGTCATGTGGCGCTGATTAAACGATATCTACAAATAAATATTAACTTATCTCGATATTCGCAATTAGGAGCGCACCTTAGAACAAATAGCATGATGACATGGAGGAATTGGCTAATCGGGCGATTAATTTTTTTAATCCCATCCAAGGAAGGTCTTAATCGAGTCTGGATCTCGAACGGCTATTTCATATGAGTTTAAAGGCCTCTAAACGCCAAAAACCTTCCAGACTATCGAAACGCAACCAGTTACCCAACAAGGTAATTTGAAATTAAAATAAAGTTAGATTTTTTGCTGGGGTCTTGCAAGCAAATCGGCGAATGACCCAGATATCCACTTGGTCGCTCGGTTTTATCATAGAAATCTGGTTTTACTTAGTGGAAAGATATTTAGCATTATTCGATTTTGTGGCACAGCTGCAGTGACATATCGCACTTCTTCTGCTCATTGGTAAGCGAAAATGTCGAGTAGTCGTTTTTCTGATCTGATCATTTTGCCCTCATTTTTCAGAGATTGTCTCAACTGAAGGTTATTTTCAATTGTTTGTTGCATTAGACGCTGAAATACAGGGTGTTGCATTAGGTATCGCAGATAGTTAAGTGGTGTATTGTTGAGGTCATTTTCAGCTAAACTTTAACTGTAATCGGTGTCCGATTCGCTATGGTTAATTGAAAGTTTTATGGCTCAGTCAAATATTCATCCGAACCCGAATTGTGAGTGTATTTTTTCAAATAAAACCAAGTTCAATGAAAATTCCTGACCTATGGGCAACTATTGATGATCTCTGTGTCTCAGTGCTTCAGAGTCGGATGCTGTAAAAATCCCCTGGATCAGAGCGGAAGCAATCAAGGTCTCCAACGAATATTTCGGCCGTGTACTTAGAAATCAAGACTTCTACACCTAATTATGACCAGACAAAGACTGCGAAAAAGTGATGAATATTGGGGTTGAAAAATCTACAACAATTACTTTGGAGCGCCCGCAGAGAAAAGGGCTCGTGAAGAAGCAAATGGGGTTTCTAGAAAAAATAGTCTGTTGATGAAAGTGGGAGCCAGTGGGAAAGTTGTGTTGAAAGACAGTGGGATACTCGCTTCCAAAGGTTCAGATTTTATACGAAAACCTCAAATAAATGTTTCGCTCAAGCAAGGGAAACTAAAAATCCGTTTGGAGATGTGAGCTTCATCGTTCTACATTTCGTATTGAAATCGAAAAAAAAAACGCATTTCTGTTCATCACTTTTGGGGCATGAGAGGGACTTTCAGATAGTTTGCAATGATTCATTTCTACCCTGCA